TGGTCCAGTATTGTTCAATAGGGTGTTAATTTTCTGACACGTGACGTACTAACCAATCAATGGACAAGAGTTCCTTAGCTAAAACCTAGTTTAACCATGGTTCTGTTTCTCCTCTTAGTTGTTCTTCTTTAACCCTTTTAAAGCTATTCTTTCATTCTCTTTCTTTTTTCCTTCTTTGCTCTCTATGACTAGTATTTCTTTTATTTGCAATATTAATTATTGGGTGGTGGAGAGAGGACTCTTCTTAATAAACATTTGCACTTGCCTCACCTTATTTAAATTAGTCCAGGAAAAAAAATAAGCAAATAACAATGTCCCGCTAGGATATCTAGCGATTCAAATAGGGCAAGTAGAAGATAATGTTTCATACTTCAATTGCCCATTTTTTATTCAGTTACTCAAAGAGGTTGAGGCAGTAAATTTTGTTAATCAAAAGGGTTATACCATTACCATTCCTTGCTATGTCGAAGACTTTGCTGCATTCAAGCCAAAATTGATAAATACCACCACCACCCTCTTCATGTCTGATGTGTATTGTTTTAGATCCTAATTTTTTTTCTTTTCAATGGTATGGTTGAGATGAAAAGTGGCATCCTAGAGGAATTCGTTTTGTGGCTATGCATTGAATTAAAATGGCTTCGAATATTACTAAACTCAATCCTGATATCACAGAAAGAAAGCATCTCTAGGTGATTTCACCTCCACTTTACAGTGCTGGAGCTAGAGAAGTAAATGCGGGTTCGGACGAACCCAGTAAATTTTACTTAGACATTGTATTTGTATTAAAATGTTCCAAAAATATGTATAAATATTTAATTGTAAACCTAGTAACTAAAACGAGTTATGGGTTCAGTGACAAATTCAGAACCCATAGATTTTAAATCTTGGCTCCGCCTCTATCTTTACTTATGCTAAAATGAACTTGAACAGATCCATAAAAGAATAATAATTCATTAGCATCAAGCGAAAGAAAATATGGGTAATCTTGACCACATTGACATAGAACGGGAGAGAAGAGAAATTGAACCATGGTTAAACTAGCTTTCTAGTTAAAGAGATCTTGTCCATTAATTAATATGTAGGACACATGTCAGAGAATCAGCACCCTATTAAACAATACTGGACCAAACATCAATGGAGGGATCCCAACCCTGGAATTGGGTAGAGTTTGGCCAAACTTAACTCAATCACAAAATTGTCTCTCTCTAATTGCCAACTACAAGGTATTGACTCTTCACTCAAATCCTTCACCGAGTTAAAGGAGCTACGCCTTGCTCATAATGATATTAAGACACTTCCTGGTGAGTTGGCTTTTAATATAAAACTACAAAACTTAGACATTGGAAACAATGTTATCGTGAAGTGGTATAATGAATTATGTAGATTTGAGATTAGAAGTTAACCCAATTTTGATTTCCATAACTTATGGCCCTCTTGTTAAATGTTGTAAAAAAAATGATATTTCTAGTTTGCTTTAGGAACATTTAACATACCATCGTGATTGCGGACACGTTCGCGTGACATAATTACAATTTTAAAAATAAAATCGGAGTATGCATTCGCGCAACTTCGACCAAACTTTCTTAATAATAATAAAGCATTATGAATTGTGGACAACGTATGCATGACATGATTTTTGATGCACAAACAAAATGAGTACACGTAAGCGTGACTTATTTCAGGATAATTTCTTAAATAAAAGCGGTTAAGGGGTGGATGCACATAAGTTCTAAAAATAAGTAATTAGACAATTTGATTAAGCCAAGTATGATCAAAGCGACCGTGCTAGAACCACGGAACTCGGAAATGCCTAACACCTTCTCTCGGGTTAACAGAATTCCTTACTCGGATTTCTATGTTCGTAGACCATAAATAGTGTCAAATTTTCTCGATTCAGGATTTTAAACCAGTGACTTGGGACACCATAAATTATCCCAAGTGGCGACTCTGATTTTTAATATAAATAATCCCGTTTCGATTATCACTTAAATTAAAAAAAACTCTCTTACTCCCTTTGCGGGGTAGTAAAAAGGAGGTGTGACATGGAGAACTTTGCATAAAGCTTCTTCTCCCTCAACCGCTGCAATGCAACTCTCAAATACTTAGCGTGCTCCTCCTGACTACGTGAGTACACTAGAATATCATCAATGAATATAATAATAAACGAGTCGAGATAAGGCTGAAACACGCTGTTCATCAAATGCATGAACGCTACTGGGGCTTTGGTCAGCCCAAAAGATATCACAAGGAACTTATAGTGATCATATCGGATCTTGAAAGTCGTCTTAAAAATATCCAAGTCCCTGATCTTCAACTGGTGATACCCTGATCGGAGATCAATCTTGGAGAACACCCTCGCTCCCTGAAGTTAGTCAAATAAATCATCAATACGAGGCAAATGATACTTGTTCTTGATTGTGACTTTGTTCAATTACCTGTAATCAATGCAAATCCTCATCGTGCCATCCTTCTTCTTCACGAATAGAACGACGCACCCCAAGGCGACACACTAAGCTTAATAAACCCCTTATCAAGGAGTTCATGCTGCTCCCTCGACTCTTTCAACTCCACCGGTGCCATATGATACAGTAGAATAGAAATGGGCTGAGTGCCCGGCACCATATTAATACCGAAGTCAATATCCATGTCCGGCGGCATGCCCGACAGGTTTACAAGAAACACATCTAGAAAGTCCCTCACTACCGGGATTGAATCAATGGTAGGAGTCTCTACACTAACATCCCTCATAAAGGCTAAGTAAGAAATACAACCCTTCTCAATCATCCATTGGGCCTTCAAAAATAAAATCACCCTATTGGGAACAAATTTAGATAAACCTCGCCACTCAATCCGTGGCATACTCGGCATAGACAATGTCACTGTCTTAGCATGACAGTCCAAAATAGCACGACATAGAGATAGCCAATCCATGCCTAATATCACATCAAAATCCACCATACTAAGCGACAGAAGGTCCATTCGGTTCTTCAAACCCCCAAGAGTCACCACACACGATCGATATACGCGGTCCACAATAATAGTATTGCCCACCATAGTAGATACATGGGTAGATGAAACAAGAGACTCACATGGCGTATCTAAATAACGAGCAAAATATGATGACACATATGAAAAAGTGGAACCAGGATCAAATAACACAGAGGCATCTCTATGGCAAACTGAGACAATATCTGTAATCACAGCATCTGAAGCAATAGCATCTGGTCTGGCTGGGAGTGCATAAAAACGGGACTGACCACCACATGATCGACCTCCCCCTCTAGGGCGACCCCTGGCTGACTAACCCCCACCCCTAACTGCTTGGGCGGGTGGTGAAACAACTAGAGCGAAAGTTGAAGGTTGACTCCTCTGCTGAGATGGACCCCCAAGAAGATGAGGAGATTGTCCCGTCATATGCCCAAACTCTCCACAATCATAACAACTCCTTAGTGCAGGGGACGGGGACTGAAGGGAACCCCTAGCACCGGGATGACTAGTAGAAGGACCTGGCATGGAAGAGCTCTGAACTGATGGAGCACGGGACGAACTCTGGGCTGGAAGGGCACTAAGTGATGAATGACCCTGATAAGAGCTGTGAGAACCATGGCCTGATGATGCCCCACGATGAACTGGGCGAGCTGACTGAGAATGTCTGAATAGATGGCCTCTGCCGTGCTGAAATTGACCTCTCGAAGAAACACCTCCAAAACTACCAGATCCCGAGACCTCTTGGCCTCCCTCTCATCTCGCTCCTAGCGACGAACTGACTCAATATCTCGGGCAATATCAACAACCTGCTCAAAAGTAGCACCTGACACCCTCTCTATGGTCATCAAAATCCGAAACTGATATGTGAGGTCATCCACAAACCTCATGATCCTCTCTCTATCTGTAGGAACCAACTAAAAAGCATGACGAGCTAGATCTAAAAATCTCATTTCATATTGCATCACAGTCATATCATCCTGACGCAACTACTCGAACTGCCTACGCAGCTCCTCCTGCGAGACTGCGTCGCATACTTCTCTAAAAGGAGAGCGGAGAACTGCTGCCAGGTAAGGTGCGCTACACCAACAGGCCTATGTCTCTCATAAGCTTCCCACTAAGTAAAGTTAGCTCCTGAAAACTGGAAAGTAATGAAGGAGACCCCACTGGTCTCCAAAATACCTACGGTCCAAAGCATCCTCTGGCACTTGTCCAAGAAACCCTGAGCATCCTCGCCCTCTGCACCACTGAAGGTCGGAGGTTGAAGTCTACCAAACCTCTCCAATCGATGCTGCTCGTCGTCAGGCATAGCTGGTACCATATAAGCCTGAACAGTTGCAACCGGTTGGACTGGAGGTGCCCCCGGTGTCTGAAGTCCCTACACAACCTGCTCAAGTGTGCGAGCGGCGGGATTCTAGGTGTCTCTCCCGACCTGAGAAATAGCTGCGGCCGTAGTAACTAAGACCGCCTGAGCTAGGCCAATGCACACTGATAGAATCTGGGCTAGGGCCTCCTGAAGGCCTGGAATAACAATCGGCACAACCGGTGCCTAAGTTGGTCTTGCTGAAGCGTCCGCAATCAGGACCTGATCATGAACTAGGGCGGCTAGTGGATCTGCAGGTGCTGCCCTAGCTTCTGTGCGGGCTACACCCCTACCCCTACTACGGCCTCAACCGCGACCTCTAGTGGCCCCAACTGGTGGCACTGGTGGTCGCTCATCCTGACCAGTAGCACGTGTTCTCACTATATGTGAGAGAACAGAATAACAGAAGTTTAGTTACCAAAATCATCAGATTCACACGACAGGAATTCAAGAATGTGAAGTTTTTCCCAGAGGTTCTACAGCCTATCGAAGATAAGTACAGAAGTCTCCTTACCGATCCGCAAGACTCTGCTATACCGGCTCATGACTGGTGAGATCTATGTAACCTAGGCTCTGATACCAACTTGTCACGACCCTAAACCACCCCGATTATGATGGCGTCTATCGTAGTACTAGGTAAGCTAATTTGACATTTATAACAAAACAAGTCTTTTTCTTAATTCATTTTCTAATCAGATATTATCATAAATCTTTCGTTTAAACATTTCAAAACAAGCGGAAAAAAATATGTAAAACTTCAACCACTGCTCGATCTCGGTGTCACTAGTCATGAGCCACTAAAATACAATCTGATATTGTCTACTCAATATAAGATGAGTCTGTGAGAAACAAATGCTAGTAGATAGGAAGGAGAAAGGCAAGGCTGCGGACGCCGTGCAACTACCTTGCTAACTCCGGAATGCTCTGAAGGTAAGGAACAACTCTCTCTCGGATGCTCTGGCACCTGGATCTGCACACAAAGTGCAGAGAGTAACGTGAGTACGCCAACTCAGTATGTAATAATTATAAATAAAGGCTGAGTGCAGTGGTGAGCATTTAAAATCATATACATCTCATAACATAGAATCTCAATGGAAATAACCAAGTTAAATCAATAATTCAATTTCCGAACATCTCATAAAAACTCTAGTTTCAATGAAATTTGTATAAAACATTTGTTCAACATTATTCAATAGAGGCTCAGTATAAAAGAAGAGTGAAAAACAGTAATTTCATAAAACAAGCCCATCGGACAAGGTATCACTTATATGTATAGCCCCTCGAACAAGCCTCTCAGTCACTCATGACTTAACTATCGTCATTTATCACTCACACTCAACACTCCCACTCAATAGATATCTCATAATAACCGTTGTGGCGTACAACCTGACCCAAAAATATATAATCGACTGCGCTCACTAGGGTATGTAGACTCCGGAGGGGCTCCTACAGCCCAAGCGCTATATCGTTGCGGCGTGCAACCCGATCCAATATATCGCTACAGCGTGCAGCCTGATCCATAAATATATAAACCTCACCACATGTCCCCTACCTCTCTCAATCATCAACCTCACAGCCACTCGAGCATTTCAGTAAAAATCAGGGAACTCAGCCCAAACAGTTTTCATATATTTGCAAGTAGAGTAATGAAACTGAATCAAACAATAAACATGTAAAAATCATGATTGAGGATATGCTTTCGAATCAAAACAGTGTGAGGATAGTAGTAAAATACCCGTAAGGGTACAAACAGTACGGCACAAGGCCCCAAACATGGCATTCAACCCAAGTTAACAGAATTATTTCTAAACACATAGGTTTCATATAGAATTATCAAAATATGCAACTCTACAGTTGCCACGGGGCGGACCATGTCATAATCCCTACCAGTGCACGCCCACACGCCCGTCACTTAGCATGTGTTATAAAAAATGGTACGAAATTCCGAGGTTTTGTCCCCTCATGTCTAAGTTTACAATCGCTACTTACCTCAAACCGGACGGAAATCTACTCAGCAATGCCCTTGCCTCTCGACTCGACCCCAAATCATCCCGAATCTATCCCAAATCAGAATCATATCATCAATACATGCCAAAGGGACAAAGCCCACACGAAAATTATCAAATTAAACTCAAAATCCCGAATTTGCTCAAACCCAGCCCCTGAACCTATGTCTTGGAATCCAACAAAAGTTGCAAAATTAGAAACTCAGTTCACTCCCGAGTCTATACATACCAAAATCATCAAAATCGAACCTTAAATGGCCCCTTAATCCCCAATTTAAACTCTCCAATTTCAAGCCCTAATCTCCCATTTCTTCTTAAATTTCCCACTAATATCATGATTAAGTAGTGGAAAAATCATCACAAACACAATTAATAAGACCCAAGTAGCTTACCTTACTGAAACCTCTCGATTCCCTCTTGAAATCACTCCTTGAAGCTCCAAAATCGACCAAAAATGGTAGAAGAATGACCAAAATTTGTGAAGGGAGCTTATATACTTTCCGCCCTAGGGATTCCGCACCTGCGATCCCATAAGAGCACTTGCGCTTCCGCTTCTGCGGAAAAAATATCCGCTTCTGCGAATTTCACTTAACCTTATCAGGCCTCGCATCTGCGATCGCCTTACCGTGCCTACGGCATCGCAGATGCGGTTTACCGAGCCTCACCTGTGGTCCTCCACACACTTGAACCTCTTTTATGTTCCTATAGAGCTCGCACCTGCGGTCCCCAATCCGCAAGTATGGATATGACAGAAGCTGCAACACCAGCTGGAATTTCTCAAGTTCAAACTTTCCAAAAACTATCCGTAATCATCTCGAGGCCTCCGGGACGTCAACCAACAATACAAACAAGTCACCTATCACCATACAAACTTATTCCAACCTTTAAAACACTTAAAACAACATTAAAATACCAAATCACCCTCGGATTCAAGCCTAAGGATCTCCAAACTTGCGAATTCCGCAAATGATGCAAAAATCTATCAAACCTCATCCGAATAACCTGAAATTTTGTACACACGTCACAAAACAACGGACCTACTCCTATTTCCGGAATTCCATCTCGACCCCGATATCAAGATTTCCATCGTCGATCGGCAAATGCCAAATTTTCAATTTCGCCAATTCAAGCCTAAATTCACCATGGACCTCCAAATTACATTCCGAACACGCTTTTAAGTCCAAAATCACCTAACGAAGCTATCTGAACCATCAGAATTCACATTCGAGACCTTCTACTCATAAGTCAACATCCGGTTGACTTTTTTCAACTTAAGCTTCTAAATAAGAGATTAAGTGTCTCATTTCACTCCATGACCACTCCGAACACAGAATAACTAATACGGTACGATGAAATACATCTGAACAACAGATAAAGAAGCAGAAATGGGGAGACGGGACTGTAACTCATGAAATGACCAGCCGGATCGTTACAGTGGGACTACACATTAAACTATATGGCCGTACACTATATTGTTGTTTGTACCAACCAAGAAAAGGTCAATAATATACTTGTAGTCCATGTTAAATACTCCTTTCACCTCTCAAGGAAAGTTTATTTGGAGGATTATCTAAGTTCGCGGGTTTTATTTACGTATTATAGGCACCTTACTGAAGGCTTGGCATATATTTTGAAAGCATGGATAATAAAATGGTAGTAGCAGCAATGGAAAATTAAATATGAACATATTTGGAATAGTAAAAGTTTGTGGCTCTCAAGAACAACACAAAAATCACCTGGAAAAACTGAAAGATCCTGAAAGCATGTAGTTCAGAGAATCGAAGAAAGAATAAGTTGAAAGTAAATAATGCTGAATCGCATATGAATAAAATGATAAAAATGATGATTCCCAATGACCATCCCAGAAACAATAATCGACTAAAAACAATCAAGTAGAGAGAACAAGTAGAGTGAACGGAGAAGCGTACCTGAGAGAAGAGAAATTGTGAGATGGCGAACTTTCGAATCTGGTAGATTGGTAGGAGAAGATTTATCAAACTAGTTACTCCTGAGGTGTAAAATTAGGAATTCACATGCTAAGCCTCCAATATACGCAGTCGAGTCTCGAAACATTGAACTACTTTGAAATTAGCTGATATAAACTGCTGAAATGTTAAAAAATAATTTATCCTTATAGCTATTTAAACTTTTCTCTCCCTAAATTGTTAAGCATTAATACGGTCGAAAGTTTTGAAGTACTATCCTTTGCTGTCAATATTTGAAATACAAATCAAAGTGGGAACGAACTACAGAAGCTTGCGAAATATTAGAAGTATGAAGGACAGTAAGAGAATATAAATCAAAGTGAAAAAGGACCAAATAATTACACAAAAAATAGTGATGACAGGACCAAGAAAGCATGTTATAGTAAAAATAATAATGACCCGCACTAGTTAAATTAGAGTTGAGACTTTCTTTACACATTAGATAATTACTCAATGAACAATCAATTCCTGAAGTAGCTTACATAAACTGTAGACATGGAATTGGGGTTCTTAGTTGCCAAGTGTACATAGATAGGCCAAGGACATGATGCCAAACCCGAGATCAAGTGATGCTTAGCTACAAAATTTGTAATTAATAGTAGTTGCAACCCCGCATTCTAAATCAACTAAAGAAAAATTATTGGAGCAGAGAGTACCATATATGACCGAGGTTCGAACAAAAGTTTATGTACCTTTGTGAGATCTCCTAATCTCTGACTTCTTGAATATTGCACACCCAAATATTATCAAAGATGTAAATGGTGGATTGGTGGGTTTATCACCTTTCGTATTAAGTTTTGTCAATCAGTATCCTATACTCTACTATCTTTCTGAGAACTAATATTTTTCCAACAATTAAAAAACAGAAAATAACTAAAAAATAAACGAAGATTTTTGCCATACTTATAGACAAATGTGTGGGAATCATATACATTTAGATCTCATCCAGCAACATTCAAACAAATCAGTCTAATCATACTCACTAAGTTATTCTTCACACGGTATCAAATCAAGAATTCAAGTACACAAGCACAACATTGGACCAAATAAGCACTCAAAATGAGATGAACTCTATTTTATCGGAATGTAACAGGAAAAGACACTCAACCAAAATTTAAGCTTCACCAAATGTGTAGAACCAAAGATGCGCCATATTAACTCATCACCACAATAGCGTGAAATTAAATTAAAACTTCAAATTATACCAACAAGAGAAAAAGGAAAGTGTCAACAAGTTATAAATGAATCATGAACTTCTGCTCGTGATTGACCTAGAATGAAACAAAATTTTAGTAGAGGTAAAGGCAACACATGAAGGTTAATGAAACTAAACCCATGCATTTTTGGCATCACATAAAAGCATCGATCTAATTCCAATATAAAATTAGTATATGATCGCAAAATTCTTAAAAGAAAATGCAAATCTCTCAACAAGAAAAGAGGATTTTTCCCGAAATTTAAAGAAGTCATTAACAAGAAAAGGAATTTTAGGAATTTCAGAAAAGCCAAACTGAAAAGTCATTAAATTGAAAGTAAAAATTCCAGAAAAACCTTACAAGTATGTCCTTGAAAAATAGAGGTCAACAGTGACTGAAAACCCTAAAAAAATGAAATCCCCAATTGAAGTCGATAGCCACAGAACCAGACGAAGAGAAAGTTTTGAAATTTGAGAAGAGAAATTAGAAGAATTTTATCGCTTCCATTAATGATTTCCTCCGAACCCACCCCGCGTCACTCAATGAACAGAGAGGTATAAGAAGAGCCAGATCTTAGGGAAGAAGGACGAGATCTTCTTGTTGTGTGGGTAAATTTGACAGGTATATTTTTATTAGAGTAATTTAGAGCCTAATTTTTCGCCAAAAAAATAGAGGGAAATGTAAGCGGGAAATTTTAGAGGGCTTTAGAGCACGTTTAGGGAGGGTGCAATTGCAAATATAAACAATCACTCCCTTAAAGCGTTAAATTATATGTGACTAAACGTTGTCATAATTTAATGGATCGGTAACACGTGAAAAGCGTAGCCTTTAAAATTAAAAAGAACACTTTGTAAGCGTTGCTAAAATTCCGTGGCCAAAAGTGCTCAATAAAGGCCACCCCTTTAAAAGCGTTCCTATAGATATTTTTTGCCACACTTTTCAAGCATTGCCTAAAATTGGTGTGGCCTTAGGCCATTTTTGTTGTAGTGACGTTTCGGATGCTGTTACTCTCAAGTAGTATGTGTTGATACCTAATTTTTTCCTATATATTTTTAATATATGTAAATACTTTTAAAATAGCATATATGCAAATAAAAGCATGCATAAGTATTTTTATAATTTTTTTATAATTTTAAAGTCTTCAAATTAATTTATTTCCACCCTTTTTACTCATAAAATCTCCAATAATTATCCTTCAAATTATTTTTGTGGAGATTTAGCCATCTAAATTCTTTACTTATTCCGAAATATTGTTAAAATATTTTTATTGCATTTGTATAATTGCATTTGCATTTTTTAAGCTAATTTGCATATATTTGCAATACTAGTCCTATTAATGCATAATTACATTTATATGCATAAAATGATCTTCTATATTTTTAAAATATTAAATACCTATTTTAAATTATTTTAGTACATGAAATTATTTTTCAGAAATTATTTATTATTTATTATAAATTATATAGAGTTAAATTGGCTATTTAAAACTTAGCCAAATTATATTTCAATTTTAGCCTAAATTCAACCCGATACCCAGCCCAATTCCTAATTTAATTACCTGAACCAGGCCCTAAACACACCTACCCGACCCAAGACCCCATCAGATTATGGCCGTTGATCTAAAAGATTAACGGCCCTCATTAAAACTTGCCTTTTTTAATTCCAAACAACCCCCAACCCTAATCATTTCTATGCACCCGCCGCCGTAAAATCCTCTCTTCTCTCAAAACACTCTCAACCTAACCCTAAATCTTCAAACGCCGACCTCCCATCTCCGGTCATCTCTGGTCATCTCTCATCGTCTCTTACGCCTCCAATGGCTTCTCTCATGCCATTCTTGCTTTCTCTAAGGACCTTAAGGGCCTAGGGCCATGCCGACTTTTATCTAGGGTTCATCTCCTGCCTGTTCCTAGCTATTCCTGTGTGATTTCAGGCGAAATTATTTTATTTTTGCTATGATCCTTGGGATTCTAGACAGGTTTCTCTATCTCTATATGGGTTTCTTTCGAAACCCTAATTTCTTTTCTACACCTTCTAGATCTGTACAGATCTAGGATGATTTGAGTTGTTTCTTGAATGTTTTACACTATCCTTGAGGTCTTTTACAAGAATTATGTGATTTCAAGTGTTTTTCGTCTTCTTCTAAAACCGGGGTTTTCGGAACTTCTTTTTAAAACCTTGTCTAATTGATTCTTTGTGTTTAAACTTCTATTTCTTACATATTTTGTCTGATTCTATGAGTTTACTACATCTTAACTCATCTATGCTGAAAGCCCTAATTTTAAGGGTTCTTTCGTTTGGTTCCGTGTATTAGCATGACTGACCGGTTCTTGTTTTGAGTTTCTGTAATTTCTCGTGACTATCTTGCCTCGATATGTTTCTACTTTCTACTGAGTTTCTTAGCCTGAACTTACACTGACTCTATGTGCTTGTATTCATCTTGACTGTTCAAGACTTGTCTCTTTCTCATTGAATTAGTATTATTTAACTTTCATGTTTGCTAGATTTGTATGTCGATTCTTGACTATCCATGTCATACTTTATTTATATTATAAACACTAACTCTTTTCATGACTTTCTCTTTGATTGATTCTGAATTCCCTATTTCTTGGTTTGATTTGAAAACTTTCCTTTAAACCTTCAATTCTTAGCTTCCTACTCAATGTGATTGATTTGCTTGCCTAAACTAACTTTCATGTACCTTGTCTGCATTGTTACTTGATTTTTACCGACTATCTCCTTAATTAGAATTTTTTGAACCTAGACCTAATTGTTTACTCTATACCTACTATGTTTGAATTATTTTATTGTCTGTTATGCTCCAGTTACACATTGATTTTTTTCCTTTTGCTACATGTTCTTACCATTTGAACTGATTCCCTTAATTAAGGAAGTACTTGTACTGATTCTGCTCTAATTGGTTCTGAATTCCATAATTACTGTACAATTGTGATTCTTGTCTTATTTTACCTAGTTTCGAACTACTATATATATGCTCTCTCATTAAGAGTCAACACACACGAACACAATAGTTCAAACTCTCTCACACTCAAATTTTTTTGCTCTCTCTCTTTGATTGCTTGCTATTATTCTGAGTTAGCCTGCTGCAAGCCAATGCTAATTATTGTGCTCTCCTATTCTTCACTTTGTGTTTACTATCTCTTTACTGGTATGTTCTAACTTCAATTCAAGTCCCAAAACCAATATGTTTCTTTTACTGCTTCAGTTTATCATATTTCTAATTTGTTTCTATCTATGGTTCTGTTGTTCAACATGTAATTGACATGTTTACATTACTACTTCATCTAGCATGCTAGTCTAACCCTCTTAGGGCCTTTTAGAACATGTTCTACCCCTGGTAGTCTGTCTCAACATGACTCTCCCCTGTTTTGAATGCTTGTCTACTTGTTATCCAGTTTTGATATGCAAACTGATCTGTCACTTTAAATGGCTGATTCTATATTGTTTCTGAAATTCCTACTGTGTTGGTACCACTAGCTATTCCATAATCCCTTAAACCCCCACAAGAACTGCTATGCTCCTTAATATTATGGGCTCTGTGTCCCTAAATCCCATTACCCCTGTTTGTGGTTTTTGAACCTGCCTTGGTTCTATATTCTTTGATTATATATGGACCTGTTTTGGGTGTTGTGTTTGAGCTGTTGCTTATTACTCTACTCTCTTTTCAAAACTCCCTATGTTATTTTTACAAGACTATTTCAAACAAGTCTCTTTTCAAACTGTTTTCCTCCTTAAATATTTTCAAAACTATGTCAAACACTCTCACTCCACTCTTAGGTCCTTAAGTTTTTCCCCTCCAGTGTATGACTGCCTTGGGATCCCTATGAGATCCCTCTAAGCTCTGATACACTGGAGTTGGTTCTTCCACACTGCACTTACTCAGTTCTGGTTATAAAGTCTAGGTGTAAGCACTGCCCGAGATCCTTGATATCCTTTGGGAACTCTAACGCACCTAGACAATGATATTGTCTATGAAATTTGGCATTTGAGGCTATTAGAGGCTTGAGAAAACCATTTGGGCCTGCTTTAGGCTCCCTATAATGTAACTTCTTATTTTTCTTTTCTACTTATGTCATTCATTCGATATTGGCTTATAATAATTTGTTGTAAACAAATGCTGGGGATGGATAGTGAAAATGGGAGGGTAGCTATGCATGTTATAAAAGGAGTGGAAGCCATGCGTTAGGTTTATGTTTCCTATATGCACAATAGAATCCATGTTTAGGACCAACAAGTGCAAAGCATATCATAGACCATGCTCCCTAGGTTTTTTGTTATGTATGTTGTTTCAGTATCTCATATTGACATTCTTGCTATCACTTAGAAATCCTATTTCTAGGCATTAAAACGAAACTGCTACTCCTGCACATTTGACAGTATGCTCTACAATGCTGCAACCTTTTTATGCATTTAGAAATCCTGCTTTAGGAAATTTTGCAATCATGTCGTACATATTAGAAATCATGCTTTAGGAATTCTGCGTATCCTGTAATCATTCGGCGTTTATACGTGCATATTAGATACCATGCTTTAGGATCTCATTCATACTTGCTCAGTCACACCTAGTATAAACTACCGATTATGAAAGATGTAAAAACGACTTCACATTTGATTATCCTATTTTAAATAAACTATTAATAATCCCTATATTTTGTAAAACCTAGAACAACATGCTCTTAGGCAAAAACGACTTCTGAATTTCTAATGGTTTTGGTAACAACTGTGCACTGCCCCACGCCTAGACAAGCCTTAGGTAATCAACTCTTATAAAAAAACTGGAAACTGCTCTTCTGTGTTTACTGCTTAATGATTGACAGGCTTAAAATTAGTGGGCAAACTGATTAGGGCCGCTGCTTCTGAGCTCATAAAATAAAACTGCCTATCTTCTATGTTTTGATATTCACTTAGACATCATGCCTTAGGATCATGTTTAATAATACTGCCCTTATTTGTGTTTGAGTCGTGCTGCTTATCTATATTGTTTGTGTGTCACGCCCCGAGCCCGGAGCGATACCGACACCTAGTGCCTCATCTATCCTAGCGTACCACTGACTAATGTCAACATAAAGCTAGGCCGGCAAGGCCGTCATAATTAATACAACTGACACGCCAATAAAATATTCGTACAGAGCCTACAAGCCCAATATACTACACTAACCGACATAAAACTAAATGGAGACTAACACTAACTAATGTCAACATAAAGCTGGGCCAGCAAGGCCGTCATAATTACTACAACTGACAAGCCAAAAAAATATTCGTACATAGCCTACAAGCCCAATATACTGCACTAACCGATAGGATATGTCTACAAGCCTCTACTGATAGATGTACTGTGATCAGAACAGGGCCCCAACCTACCCGTAACCTATATACCTATATACACAAGATATACACCACTCTACTGGACCCGACAACTCCGAAAGAAGGGGAGCTTAGCGATAAAGCTGAACTCAGGCAACACCTACTGAGGAGGTCTACTCGTCCGTCTATCTGAACCTGCACGCTTGAAATGTAGCGCCCCCAGAAAGGACATCAGTGCGAAATAATGTACCGAGTATGTAAGGAAATATACTGCACTAATCGACATAAAACTAAACGGATACTAACACTGACTAATGTCAACATAAAGCTGGGCCGGCAAGACCGTCATAATTACTACAACTGACAAGCCAACAAAATATTCGTACAGAGCCTACAAGCCCAATATACTGC